ACTACCTGAGACCGTTACAGTGATCACACAGATGATGGGAGCTTACAACAGTAGGTTTGAGATCCTCGGAGCATCCCAGATGTTCTTGATTGAAGGTTGTTCTTCTTTCACGTCTCCAGCGAAGGGGGAATCGCCCTGACCTCGTTGCCCAGCGCCCGGGTTACCCCTCACGTTGCCTGCCGCTCAGTTGGGCAGCCATGCATCCAACAGCAGGGCACTTGCAGCTGAGCGTCCGAAGTTCCAGTGCCACGACTTTCCAACAACTTGACATCTTATACCTCGACGCCCTTGGCCTGTGCGCCGACGTCGAACAAGATAGAAGTCCACCGAATCTTGAGCCTTGTGATGGGGAATGCGCCCGGTTCCTTATGCATTCGGATCCGGGGTTAGGGTTGGATGCGCATGGTCGTCTGTCTGTGCACGTACCACACTTGCTCCCCGGCCCACGCACTGTATCTTGATCTTTTCTTCAGCTTTCGATTCACGGAATAGAGTGGTACTTGCAGTGCCATTGAGCCTTGCGATCTATATCGCTCATCTTTCACATTAATCTACCGTCGGAGGGCGGCTCGGCGTTTGCTCGCTCGGGTTCGCTGAGCTGGCCACCTCCACCCGCCCATGGGATTTTTATTACAGAGTGAAGGATTTCTGTAATCGTTGTAATGACATATCGGCGTATATAAAGTCAACAGTTACCCAAGTCATCTTGGGAAGTTGCGCCTTGGCAAAGGACCGGCTCACTAATTCATCACAACATAAGACTCCTCATCACCCTCCTCAAGCTTCTGCTCGTTACCAAACACGTCTGGGTCCAAATCTAGGTCGTTCCTAACCGTCTTCACATCCACGGCCACCAGTTCCATCTCTCCAACCTCCTCCTCGTCGTCGTCCCCCGCTTCTCCGGTGAGGAACGCTGTCCTATCGGAAAACAGCCCCCCCTCGGCGTCGTCCTCACCCTTCGGCCGGATCACATGCAGGCGGTACGCAAACACGATCCCCGGCGCGGTCTGATACGACCGGTTGCTCGTGTGCTCATTCGACCCAGACAAACCCCCTCCCGCCTCCACTGGCACCCCGTCCGCAGGCACCGGCCCAGACCCGCCCACGGACCCGGTCACCTTGGACGCCCTCTCGTCCGTGACGGTGAATGGGTCCACCGCGACGCGCAGACCCGTGATGACGTACACGCACCGCCGGCCGAATCGCCCGCCCTCAATATGCCGCCGCACCTCCTCCAGCCGGGTGATGGCGCGCAGCGCGGCGGGCGCGAAGGCGTCGCCGTCGAGCGTGCGTACCTCGTGGTCGACGGCGCTGAAGCTCTTGTTGCGCGACCAAGAGACGTCGGCCATGCCGCTGGCCGACGCCAGCGCGAGGAACTTGGCCAGCAGCTCGAAGCCAAAGGAGCGCTTCGTCTCGGCCGCGAAGGCGCGGCCCTTCTCGACGAGCACCGTCGTCGCGGGGATGGGGATGGTCGGATTATCCGATTGCGGGCCGAGCGAGGCCAGCGTTGCCGTCGGCTGCCGCGGGGAGGGGATCACTCGCCCCAGGGCGATGGCGCCCTCGGGGAGGAAGGTGAAGTCCGGAGGGAGGAACTGGTGGGATGACTGGTTAGCTTGCGCGATGTTTTGTCCATCGGCTTCTTGAGAAAGCAGGGCCAGAAGTGGCGATGTTGTCATCCCTCTCTCTCTGAATGTGGTGGGGAAGCGATGGGCAAGTGGCATGTAGAGTGTAGAGACAGGGAGGTCTGAAACTGTGTAGGGCTTATGTGACCATTTGCAACCCAGAGGTAACGGGGTGGCGCCTGGTGGGAGCGCCCGTCATCGAAACTGCGATGCATCCGATGATAGAAAATGCCCGCGTGGGAGCGCGCTCCGGCCCGAGGGCCCAGGGGACAAGCTGGGAGTTGAGAGACATACCCAGGTCTTGCTCGACACCATCTTGCTGTTGCTTGCGGGGTATCCACTCACTGGTGATTGTTTCTCGCTCACTGTCGGCTGTGTCTTCCACGCAATGGAGGTTCATGACGAGGTTTGATGTCCAGTCGGGAGGGCCCCTGGTCCTCCACCTCACGCGGCAGCGTCTCCGGCTCGCTCCGTCCCCTCCATCTGCAAGTTTCGCTAGCCACCCAATCACGGTTGGACGCATCAAGTGCGCAATGCGGTAACCCCTCTTCTCCCCGTCCGCTGCATTGTCGGGCCGTCCATTTCGGCCTATCATCGTTAGTGCCCACCGTCACGGGCCAGAATCGATATTTGGTTCTTGATATCAGCTGCCTCCTGGTACTTGAACAGCAAGAGATCTCGGTTCGTAACTATGGAGATATGCATCAAGGTGAATATCGTAATGCAGCGTCTGCTGCCCAAAGAAATGCCGTCTGAGGCAATCAACGCCTTACGAGGTGATCCTGCGATGAGAGAGTTTACGGACGTTCCTAGCCGATGAGCTGGCGTTCGGTTTCCGTCTTTTTCGCCGGCGCCTGCGGCCGCCTCGGAAACAACCTCTCTACCTCCGCCTGCGTGTCGATGAACGCGCAGAGTCTCATCGAATCGCCGGGCTTGTTTTTCCAGAACACCGGTGGCTTCACGGCTCGGAGCCACGGGTGCGCTTTTGATTGTGGTGCCAGCCGGCAGAGAAGTGCCTCCATACCTTTAGTAGTCCGGAGCCGTTTCAGCACGTGGTTGCACGGAATCTCTACCAACGAGGGGAGCGCCGTGGCGTACGCGAGCATCGTCGCGCTGATACCCGCCATGGCTGCCGTGGCGATGGACGAGCCCGCCTCGCAGATCCCTGTGTAGAGGCTAGCGAACTCGGCGCGGAGGGAGTCTGGCGGCTCGCCGTACGTGCCCAGTACCCAGCTGCTCTGGCCGGGGCTTGCTGCATTCGATGAGAGAGGCGCTCCGTGCTTGTCGGTGGCGTAGACAGCGATGACCGAGGCATGGCAGGCCGGGAAGCTTTCATCGTCCGTATCCGAGTTGCCGGCGCTGGCGAGGAAGATGATGTCCTCCCGCCGCTCCCGTTCGACGGCCTCGATGGCCTCGCCGATCCCGCCCTGGTCCTTCCGGGAGACGCCAAACGACGTGAAGATAATGTCGGCTCTGCCGGGTTTGCCGGCCCACAAGATAGCCTGTGCGACCACATTGCGTTAGCGAGGTGGAACCGCAAGCAGTGCCCGTGGTCAGGGAGCTTGGCTTCACATCAAATCCCCCGGAAGTATCCCTGAACGTGCCCTTTTCAGGTACACCGCTCGACTCAAAACAAAGAGGTCTTCACGCTCACCTTGCAAATGTTTTCTTGGCTGGTCTTGAGCTGCTTGGTGTCTCTGGCAACCCGCGCAACGAGAATCTCGGCGCCGGGTGCGGACTCCATGACGATTCTGGCCATCAACGTGCCGTGGCCAAAGGCGTCCGTTATAGTCGACGTGCCAGGGTCAACATAGTCCACGTGGTCGATGACAGCACGCTTAAGACCTGGTTTCTTCGTGAATATGGGCAGATCCATGTTCAGTCCTGTGTCAACAATAGCAACTCGAACGGGGGTCGTGATGCTTTTTGCCCGACGCTTGCGTTCTACCGACTCGCCGATCTTCTTGATGTCTTCGAGCCACATTTTCGGAACAATGGCGCTGTGGAACAGACATTCTTCGTCTGGTTGCTGTGCAGGGTCGGTTGACTCGGGTTGAGTGTCGGGGCGTTTCTTGCTGATGTAGTTGATTTGCCCAGGCTGCGCCTTGAAGCCCTCTCTCGCCAGCCATGCGAGCGGCTGGACAACATTCCGGTAGAAGATTTTTCTTCTCTCAAGGACACCCCTCTTTTGCTCTTCAGCGGTCATGGGTTCGGGACGTTCCCCTATACCACGCCGGCCTGTCTGTGGTTTTTTCGTGGCCTTGATGAAGTTCTTGCTGTAGAGGCAGAATTTCACAGCCTGGTCAAAGACCTTCTTGTTCAAGAAGCCGTCCCAGGCCGCCTTCTCCAGTTCTTCCAAGCTGTCGGTCGCAATCTTGTGATTGAGGTTATGCTGTGCCACGAAGTCTGGCTTGTCCCCTGTCTGAAATTTCTCCCCGAGACCAATTTCCAGGAGAAGCACCCCGACATCGAAGATACGGGGGCATCTATGGGTCAGATGATCCTTCAGGAAGATGTCTCGGGACGAGGTGTCCGGGGCACCGAAGGGGAATGACAGATACGCGCACAAGGGCAGTTGATCCCTCCGTGGTTTTATTCGTTTCTCGGGCATGAACCAGATCGCGTCGCTTGTCCATCTGGTCCTCATCATCTCCGAATCGTAGCTGCGCAGCTCAGGGTCAGATTCCTCCGAAAGCCGACCCCGAGAGACTTCGGAGGGGTGTTGGGGCTTTGGCACTGGACGCCACATGGGATGGAGACGGGTGAAGATTTACTCACTACTGCCAGTACGCCCGGGCTACTGTGGACGCAAGGAGGACCTTGTCCTTTGGCTTGAGGTCGTATTTGGAGAGGACAGTCGCAAGCGACTCCCCGCGACCGGCTTCGAGCATTTGGTGCAGTTGTTCTGGCTCTCCGAGGACCCTAAAGCCGCGACCCTCTATGAATGACAAGAAAAGGCAAGCGGTAATCTCCTTGTTCAGAAAATTGCAGAAAGACCCTTGTTCGAGAAAAGACGCATCATCATTATCAGGGGTTTCTGTCTGGTTACTTGTTTGTTGTTAGCGAAGGTGAAGAGATCATTTTAGCGAGAGTTCAAGTTATGCGCACGTTCCCACACAAAACTCCTGCCAGTCGCCAGTTTCTAAGGTTAGTGACACAAGGACTCGAATGCCACCCTTGGTTTCGTCGAGGCACAGCCGAGCTGGATGCCACGGAAGTTCGACCGTATTCTCGTGGGACTGTGGGTTGCATGTGGATGCCAGCTCGAGGGCATTGAAAACGCCACTATTGAAGCAACCCGACATGTCGGCATCACTGAGCTGCTTCAGTGCGCTCTCGGGTATTTGCTGAGGGTCATTTTCGGCGTCATCCTTGGTCAGCTTGACCCGCAGCTCATCGCAGGTGCTCTTGAGCTTCTGTGCCTTTGTGGACTTTGCCCTGAAGAAGTTCAGGACACGGGCCTCGAGATTCTGAGCTTCGGATCCGCCAGAGGGAGACGAGAACAGAGGTAGGCGGGGGAAGAGGGCGGGGTTGGACCGCCGCTTCGGTGGCTGAGGTTCACATCTGTCAGCATGACGACACCTGGCTAGCCACCAAGCTCCCCAGTTGCTGTCTACCGGTGGACTAACCACTCGCTTCAGCACAGCGGCTGCCTGCAATCTGTAGTGCTGATGTTTCGCGGCCGAGCGTTGACGGGCCGCCCTGGGAGGGGGGGCCCGGCGGGGTAAGCATGAACGGGCAGTCCCTTACCTTGGTGATATCCAAGAGGTCCAGCAGGAGGGAGTGACAAAGCTCTTCGACATCGGGCTCGATCCAATAGGGAGGCAGAGAGGCGAGATATTCGTTAATGAGTTGAAGGCCGACTGCGACGTCGTGCGCAACGGAGTAGCAGGCTTCGGCTGGCGTGATGCGTTGTTCGCCCGCGGCCGCGCAGATGGCTTTGGCGATCTCGACGCCGCTCCTCCTCAGCCGAGCAAACGTGTCTTCAGCCATCGAATCACATGTAAGCTCAAATTAAGAATAAGGTCAACTGTAGGGTTGCGGTTTGCCGCCGCTCAACGTCTTGGGCTGAGGCCGTGAGGTGACGAGCTGAGTTGCTGGAGCTTGTCTGCAGGTCCCGCCCCACTCCCTGGGTACTTGCGGTTACTGCCTTAATGTGATTGGTTAAAAACACGTGATCTTTCTACCGGGACTTTACTCTCTGGGCCATTCGGAACCGGGCAAGCCCACCTTTCCTCTCCGGGGTTTCCGCCACTTGGTTGGTTGCACCAACCAACCAACCTCATGATGGGAGCAATCTCGAACCACATTCTCTTGCCTCCGAGCGAGCATCCCCCTTCTGCCACGGCGCCCGATTCGTGCTTGTGCTTAATAGTCAAGCGCCCCCGCTTGTCAACATGACGAAACCGGGCAGATCGGCAACCCCTGCCGTGGGTCGAACATCAGCCTCGATTCTGGATCTGACGAAGAATTGTCTCTCCAAGTTCGACGAGGCTTTGGCCTCCCAGGCCGGCCAAGCGTCCAAGGAAGGGCTGGAAATCCGTCTGGCAGACTTCAACCTTTGGGTAAGTGGCGTCGGTGCCACCGCGAAGTCCGGGCTCTCGCTTGACTCGAGGCTCCAGCTCCGGCCCGACGACCTCGCCATAGTGAAGACCGTTCTCCTAATGCTTTTCGATTCTCTGGAGCATTACGCCAGTCTCTCTCAAGATAGCAAAAGCTCTCACCATGGTGTCCGAAATATTGATTCTGCCATCCGGAATTTGGCCCTCATCGGCGTGGCCATCCGGCGCACTGGGAAAGCATCGCGAAGTCGCAGAGCCGACAGGACGTTCAATCCTGAGAAATACCACGAATTCAGGAAACACCTCGAGTGTGTGATCCTTCTTCGTCCGACTGAAGACGGCCGTCACCCAGACGAGCTGGATCCATCCAAGCTGTCCGGTTTGCAGCGAAGGCTGATCGACGCGAATCTCCGGCGACGACACCGTTTTCTGCTTGCACAAAGACGGTCGATGAACCAAGAAGTGGACCAGAAACAGCATCCGGTGCTCAAAGTCACCGCTTCCGTCGATGATACTCCGGCGAAGGATGCGCTTCCTGACCATTCGCGGAACCCCGGGGGCCCCGGGGGTCGGGGCCCCCGGGGCCCGGATCACGCGTCAACTACAAAGGAAGATAAACCCCTCTTGGCGCCAACCATTTCGGGGGTTTCCCGAGCATCCACAGCCGAGGGGACTCTGAATTACGCACCAGCCAAGCCATATATACCAGGGACGACCAAGACGCAAATCACCTCCATTGCCTCCGATGCCGAGTTTCCAAATCCCCCTGCTATACCTGACGATCGAGAGATCTTTCAGTGCCCATGCTGCTGTCAATCGTTACAGGTGGAGACATTCAAGGACTCTAAGCTCTGGAAGTATGTATATGAACTACGTCTTCCTCTCCTCCTTCTCCTTCATGATGACTTCTAACAAACATCACTTAGGCGGCATGTTGTTGAGGATCTGTGCCCATACACCTGCATCGCCGAGAACTGTCCTACACCAGAGCTTCTATTCTGCACACGAAGCGAATGGGAAACGCATATCAAGAAGAGCCACTTACCGGAGTGGCAGTGTCCGTTTTGTGACGGGGACCACGCGAAGCAGCCGAATATGGAAGCCATGGCGGACCACCTCCAGGCCGACCATAAAGACGAGCTCTCAACCAAATCCCTTTCCACGCTTCTCTCCTGGTCTGCGGTCCAGAAAATGGGCGTCACAACATGCCCGTTTTGTACTGCTGATGGACCCGAAGATGCACCGGACTTGGTGGACCATGTGCTACAAGAGGCGTACGAATTTGCTCTCCGTGCTCTGCCTTGGCCAAAGCCCATCAACCACGAATTGAACGAGCCTCCCGGGACATTCAAACTTCCAGACAAAGGAAACGACGAAAATCCCATCAGTCGGTGGCTCAGGGAGTCGGTATCCGAGGATGAGAACGCCGTCGGCCGGAAGCTATGCCGTTACGATACGGCTGACCACTCCGAGACTATTAATCTCGACGAGTACACGGACTACTTTGATACAGGCGGTTACTTTGACGACAAGCCCGGAGACAAGTCTTCAGCCGCCGAGTCGGGATTCGCTGAGGCGGAATCTAGTGGCACCGCCGACCGCAAAACACTCGAGTCGGCTTCAACCCAGATGCCGGCAGGTGACCAAACGGCAGACACAAGAGAGAAGGTGGTGGACGGTTCCCTCTGGGACAGAACACAAGATGCTATTCAGAATGATGAAACTCTCCAGGCCGCTTCCTTCGGAGGCCACAAGGAGATCGTCCGGATGCTGCTGGAGAAGGGTGCAGATGTCAATGCACAGGCTGGCTTTTATGGCCACGCTCTCCAGGCCGCTTCCTTTGAAGGCCACAAGGAAATCGTCCGAATGCTGCTGGATAAAGGTGCAGATGTCAATGCACAAGGTGGCCGGTATGGTAGCGCTCTCCAGGCCGCTTCCTCTAGAGGCTATGACGAGGTCGTCTGGATGCTGCTGGAGAACGGTGCAGATGTCAACGCACAGAGCGGCAAGGTCGATGTCGACGTGGAAGATAACGAGTACGGCTGGACGCCGCTGACGCGGGCCGCTGAGAAGGGCCACGAGGCCGTCGTGAAGCTGCTGCTCGGCACGGGTCAGGTCGATGTCAATGTGAGGGATAACGACGGCCAGACGCCGTTATCATGGGCCGCAGGGAACGGCCACGAGGCCGTCGTGAAGCTGCTGCTCGGCACGGGTCAGGTTGATGTCAATGCGGAGGATAACAACGGCTGGACGCCGCTGACGCGGGCCGCTGAGAAGGGCCATGAGGCCGTGGTGAGGCTGCTGCTCGGCACGGGTCAGGTTGATGTCAATGCGGAGGATAACAACGGCTGGACGCCGCTGACGCGGGCCGCTG